CTACAAGCCGCCAGCCAGCGCAAGAGCAATAAGTTCATTGGCAGCATTTCAACTCCCTAGCAAGTTTGCAGTGTTCACCGCCCAAAAGCCAGGCAATTGGCGTGTTCAGAGCTGCTGCATACGTCGTTGCTGTGCACGGCAGAGCTGAATGTCTTGTCTGTAGTGCTGCAAAGCTTTAGGAGGGAGACGGTAAAAACAACGAATAAATGATGTTCCTGTAGCCTTCATGACTTTGAGGGCCAACAGCAGCCGGAGCAGCGGAACCACAACAATTGGAGGAGGCAGAGGAAGAAGAGTTGCTGTCGGCAGACCCCTCTGCATCAATGAACCATACCGTTTTGATGCCAAACCCGAAAACGGGAAAAGAAGGGGGACACATTTTGGGTTAGGAGATCATGACAAGAAGCAACTGCCTTCAAGTCTCGGTATGCCCAACACCCTTCCACACGGTACGGACAGGTGTTGGATGCCTGCTCCTGCAGCTGGCGATGCCTCTGCGATTTTGATTGCCATGAAATGCCTGTTTACATGCTGGTCATTATGACTCTGACGCTGGTGCTGCTAATGTCTTTCTTGATATTACTGTGCCACGCACCGGTGTCTAGTTTGTTGTTGGAACCCGAATGCTCAAGACATCTGTGTAGGACCAAGCCTGCTCTGGCATTGCCACGCGCTCTTAGGCGGCACAGGACATGTGCGCAGTGCTGCTGCGAAGATGAGTAAACCAAATTCTTGCTTCTATAGGCGTGTCTGCAAGCTGCATTTGTAGCACTACTGTCGTGATGAGTGGCTGGGATACTGCTCTTGTTGCTACTGACCGAGACTGCAAGGCTTGACGGAAGCAATTGATGGTGGCTCTATCCAATTACACTGGATGCTTGCAAGTGCTGACAGACTTGATTGGCAGGCTGTGCACATATTGGATGTGTGAGCCAACCAGCTTCGTGTTGCTGTTGCATCTGGGGCATCTTGACAGATATCCATGATGATCGTCGCTATGGGGAAATGGCTTTCTGAGCTGCTCGGCGACGTTCACGATTAACATTCTGATTCACAATGCTAGTATTGTAGAAGCAATTGCATCTTGTATCTGCACAATGCTATTCACTGCACTCGTCTTTTCTAGTGTTCTGCTCTCTTCCCAAATGTTGTCCCAGGACAGCTTCAACTACTCCTTCCTCGGTATGCAACGCAAAAACAGCAGACTGTGTGCCAGACCAGTCGCTGCTTCCTGTACCTCGCACATCTCTTGGGAGCCTTTACCTATGGGAAAACCTGAAGGTGTAACGTTTTAACAATTAGACGTTAGTATGCCTTACAGGGGCACCCGAGGAACCGCAGATCATTATACAAGTCATGCGGGTACGTTGTAATTTGCCAACTAATTCTAAGAAAGTACCTCCGCAGCATGTCCTCATCTTCGTCAGCCTGCACATTGTCCTGCAATGCCTGTGCTGTGTACGTCATGGTGCGCATGCATGCGTACCTACATACATGAATGAATCATGCATGCATTGCTTATGAACACTGAAGGCTATGCTTTTGTGTGTTCATGATTCATTCTGCAGAACTGCCTGCTTGTGAGTAGATTTGCACATTCCTCGATTTCACTTGTGCGTGCGTGCTGCTAGTTGCCGGTTTGACGAAAGCCTGCCCTGCCAATTGCAAATGTGCATTTTGCTCCTGTATATCTTATGTATATATATATATATGTGTTGCTTCGTATGAGATCCGTATGTATGCAAAGAAAAATATTATCATCATCTGCGCCTCCAGCTCTTCGTAGCTCCGGTGCTCAAGGGGTTCGTATTGCTCGGCTGCTTCCACCTCATGCAGTTTCTGGGTTTGGAGTTTGGGCCTATGTTGGGGTCAGGGCCTTTGGATGTGAGGTTAAGTGTCCGTCCGAGGCTCGGAATGCTGGGATTTTGTAAGGGTCTGCTTTTCAAGACATATCTTCATTCTGTGAAGATTGCATGGGCAGAAAACTGGCACAAGGTCTTTGGATGCAATCGTCTTACTGGGGGTTTGTATGAAATACGAGACTATCATCCCTTAAATTAGTTCTGTATACAATATTCCTTTATTCCCTACTAACACCCAGTAAGTTGCTGCTATGGCCCAGGCCAACGCGTCTTGAAGCTCTCGCTGAGGCACTTCCTTCCTGAGATCTAACGTACTGCGAAAAAAGAACGCTCCCACCCGCACGACCCTTCGGCTGAGGTCTGATCACGAGGGGCGCAAAATTACCAAACTTCCGCTGTAGATCGTCCTGGCAATGCCCATATCTGCCAGCTGATGCAAGCTCAGACTGATTACTGCTGCTTTGCTGGTCCTCTCTGATGCCAACAAATGTTAAGACACGTCAATCAATAGCACTTTCAAGCGGATGGCTCGGTTCCTCCTGATGTTTAGGCAAAGAACATGCCGGGCGATCCCACTCTGTCGTGTCGCCGGGGCACATCGCCATGGCGATTACAGCTGAGAGATGGAGACCAAGATGCTTGGTAATCGCTGCAGCGGATGTACAGCTGGCATGAAATGAAGGGCTTGAATCCTGATTGCCTTGCGTGTCATTATCACCCCTATCTGATTCTCAAATTCAAAGATCTGACAAAAGGAATAACCCCATACCGTGAGACGGTCAAAAGATTACACTGAAGCCTTTGAGCGCGGAGGCTTGCGCTTGCCGACAGGGCTTCATTTTTCAGTGCAGCAAAAGCACAGCACAATCTGCTGATCGGTAGCATATCACCATGTGATCAGATACAGGCCTATTGCACTGTCACTCTGCAAGCGGAAGGCGTCAACAGCTCAGGGAATCCAAAACAGAGTAATGAAAAGGGTGCCCTGTTTCTTTTCTGCGATTTTGAGGGCTGTCGTCGTTGGCGAAGCTATCGCCCTGCCTGTGACAATGCAGCTTGGATGCTTTGACTGGCAAAACTCACGAGCTTGCAGATCAGCCAGGCTGATTGTCTTGCACACTTTAAGATGCTGACTGGATTTTTTCTCGGGTTCAAAAGGTTCGTTGGATGACCTATACAATCTGGCCCGAATTTTGAATCATCCAGGGTAATACTTGAACACCTTGCAATAGTGGTACATACATGAGGGTCAGTCAGCGAATGCTTCGAATAGTTCTGGTTCTAGCACAGCTATGATGAGAATAACATCTGCGCAGCTGGTTGAAGCTAGTTGAAATGCGATGGGTTTACGAATGCCAATTCCTGAAGCTATGACGAGTAATCGCTCTACCTCCTCTCCCCAAACTCCTGGCTCCTCTGCCCTTGTCAACACTCGCTGAACCTGCGTCGCTCAACAGGAGAAGCATTGGCAGGCGGTAGCGAAGTGGTACCAACGCACCGACAGGGCATGAGCAAAGGAGACGTGACTGGGCTCTGATCTTCCCTAACCCTGAAGACCTCGTCTGGGCACGGCTGTTCGCAAGGATCTTAACTGGTCTAGGATTGAAGACGTTTTGCCAAAATGAAGCTCGAACTATACTCGAAGCTCGAACTATACTCATTCCCTGAGCATGTGGAGACAAAAGTTATGCCATGGTTCGCTCAAGATAATCCATACGCATGGCTTAGCTTTTTACAGCTTGACAAGATGGGGGTTCAATGCCTTCCGACAAGTCTGTAAGCCTAGCCACCAACTCTCACAAGAATGTCTTTTCGTTCGTCCTGCGCCACGGCGCGTTGTCCAACTGAAATGAGGGCCTGAATGAAGGGTGCAAAAAAGCCAAGGGGCAGGAAGCCCAAGCCACTTTCATGATTTTAGGAGAAATCGACCCAGCTTTGGCAAGGATGGTTGCTGTGCCAGCCATGTTTGTGATCCAAGTGACAATCAGCATATGGGTGTTTGTCAAAATTCTATTCTGGATCCCTATAATAAGACGGCACCTAATACTTAGGGTACCCGAAAAGGGATCATAATTTTGATAACCACGCATATGAGCTACTATGAATTTCTCATCTCCAGGTAACGGACCTCGGATTTGATTTGGGAATGCATTTAAAGTTGGCAATAGAGTACGGGAAGAATCGATAAGCAATATCATCATGACCATGAGGTCTGAAAGTGAAATGACATCAACTCATCCAAGAACAAGGTGGTGGGACGCAGCCTCGTGGACCC